AATAATAATAATAATAGGAATGTAGAAGGATTACCAATATTGAGGATGATGATGATGATAACATGTGGAATGTGGAGGTATGACTATAATGGTAATGATGATAATGATGATAATAATAATAATAAGTGGAATGTGGAGGAATGACTGTAACAATAATAGTAAACAATATCTGGAATTTGAAAGGATGACAATACATAATAACAATAATAATAATAATAGGAATGTGGAGGTATGACTGTGATGATGATAATAATATGTGGAATGTGGAGGAATGACTAACAATAATAGTAAATAATATGTGGAATTGGAAGGGATTACTGTAATAATAATAATAATAATAATAATAATAATAAGTGGAATGTAGAAGGATATGATGATAATGATGATGATGATGATAATAATAATAATAATAATAATAATAAGTAGAATGTGGAGGGATGACTATAATGATAGTGATGATGTTGTTGATGATAATATGTGGAATTTGAAGGGATGACAATAATAATAATAATAATAATAATAATAATAATAATAATAATAAATGGAATGTAGGATTACTAATATTGATGATAATGATGATGATAATATGTAGAATGTGGAGGGATGACTATAATGATGATGATGATGATGATGATGATGATATGTGGAATGTGGAGGAATGATAATAATAATAATAATAATAATAATAATAATAATAATAATATGTGGAATGTGGAGGAATGACTGTAACAATAATAGTAAATGTGGAATTTGAAGGGATGACAACAACAACAACACTAAGTGGAACGTGGAAGGATGACTGTGGTGATGATGATGATGATGATAATAAGTGGAATGTGATGATGGTAATGATAATAATAATAATAATAGCGGTGGTTCCTTCCTATTAATAGAAGACTGGAATGCATTACTTTCTCCTTTCCTCCCTCTTTTCTTTTCTTTCCTTCCTTCCTTCCTTCCTTCCTTCCTTCCTTCCTTCCTTCCTTCCTTCCTTCCTTCCGTCTAGGGTCCAGGGTCCAGTTTGAAAACAGTGGTGCGCATCATGATTTCCCGCAGCGAGAGTGACCTCCTGAGCATCCGGGCCGAGTTCAAGAAACACTTTGGCGTCTCTCTCTATTCCTTGATCGGGGTACGGCTCCTGAGCAAATACACAGATACATATCTTTCACACACTGAGAGGTGCAGAAGATGGAGGCGTAAAGGTTTGAGGGACAGACGGCAACTTAAAAGACCAGGGTTCAAATCCGGATTCTGCTCTAGAAACCCACCTTGGGCAGGTCACATTATCTCAGCCTCAAAGGAAAGCAATAGCAAACCCTCTCTTGATAGACTTCCCGTAAGTTAGAAATGATTGGAAGGCGCAAAAACGCTAGAATTCCCCCAAGAGGTCTATTACGCAAATGTTTACAAATTTTGAAATTTTCTTTCACAAATTTTGCAAAATTGTACAATTTTTTGCAAAGTTTTTTACAATTTTCTGCAAGTATTTTACAAGTTTGGCAATTTTTTAAAGGAAATATTGCCATTTTTACAAATTTGGCATATTTTAACGTTTTAGAAATATTGTAATTTTTTTACAAATTTGGCAAAGTTTTATAAGCTTTGCAAATTGTGACAAATTTTGCACATTTTTATAACTTTTGCACATTTTGGAAAATTTTAGAAATTTTTTTTTTTACAAATTTGGGAAATTTTTATAAGCTTTGCAAATTGTGACAAATTTTGCACATTTTAATAAATTTTGCACATTTTGAAAAGTTTATAAGCTTTGCAAATTGTGACAAATTTTGCACCTTTTTATAAATTTTGCACATTTTGAAAAGTTTAGGGAATATTGTAAATTTTTTACAAATTCGGCAAATTTTTATAGCTTTGCAAATTGTGAAAAATTTTGCATTTTGCAAAGCTATAAAAATTTGCCGAATTTGTAAAAAATTTACAATATTCCCTAAACTTTTCAAAATGTGCAAAATTTATAAAAAGGTGCAAAATTTGTCACAATTTGCAAAGCTTATAAACTTTTCAAAATGTGCAAAATTTATTAAAATGTGCAAAATTTGTCACAATTTGCAAAGCTTATAAAAATTTCCCAAATTTGTAAAAAAAAATATTTCTAAAATTTTCCAAAATGTGCAAAAGTTATAAAAATTGTGAAAAATTTTGCATTTTTATAAATTTTGCACATTTCAAAAAGTTTTAGAAATATAATTTTTTTACAAATTGGGTGATTTTTTATAAGCTTTGCAAATTGTGAAAAATTTTGCATTTTTATAAATTTTGCACATTTTAAAAAGTTTTAGAAATATCGTAATTTTTTTTTACAAATTTGGCAAATTTTCTAAATTTTGCAAATTTTCAGAGATTTTGCACATTTTTATAAATTTTGCACATTTTGAAAAGTTTTAGAAATATTGTATTTTTTTAAAAAAATTCAGCAAATTTGTATAAGCTTTGCAAATTGTGACAAATTTTCACATTTTTATAATTTTTGCACATTTTAGAAATATTGTAATTTTTTTACAAATTTGGTGAATTTTATAGCTTTGCAAATTGTGACAAATTTTGCACATTTTTATTAATTTTGCACATTTTGAAAAGTTTTAGAACTATTGTAATTTATTTTACAAATTCGGCAAATTTTTATAAGCTTTGCAAATTGTGACAAATTTTGCACATTTTTATAAATTTTGCAAATTTGTACACTTTTTGCAAATTTTTACAAAAACACATCCCCCACCCCAGGCAATAATTGAGGGCATGCCTTTCCCATACTTTGAAGCTCAAGAAAGGCCTCTTTTGAAATAGGATCTGAAGAGGAAATTGCAGCTTCCTTCTTTCCTTTGCGGTGGGGTTCGGGCACAAAAACAACCTGGGGTGATTTGCAATTGGTGTCATTCCTGTCTTGCCAGATGGACACGAAGGGCGACTTCCGGCTGGCTTTGCTCGGCCTCTGCAGGGCGGAAGATCTGTGAACGCGAGCCTCCGTGGACAGAAGAAAACTGCCTTTGAATCCCAAACCTTTCAAACCTCTGAATTAAAAAAAAAAGACAATAATTCAAGAAAGAGTTGCCCTTGTTATGGTTCTGTTTTGGTTAAAACTTTCTCACTGAAGTTTGTTTCCTTTTGTTTGCAAAGGAGAGATTTATTTATCGTGTCAGTGGTATCAGCCACTGCTTGGGGTTTCAGCCTGCCACTTTTGGACTCTTGCTTGCTGAGGTGTTCCTGCGAGTATCTCTGTAGATCTTAGGAAGCTGTTTCTTGATTTAAGCTGTTGGCGTGCTGGCTGATATCCGAACAGAGGATGGGACGGAGATGTCACTGCCTTGGTCCTTTCATTACTGGCTGATACTTCCCGGCGGATGTCAGATGTGTAATACCGACTAAACTATAATTTCTCCAGAGGTGTTGGGAGTAGACATCCTGTGATAATGCGGCATGTTTCATTAAGGGCCACATCCATTGTTTTAATGAGTTGATATGTATTCCACACTGGGCATGCGTATTCAGCAGCAGAGTAGCAAAGCGCAAGGGCAGATGCCATAACTGTGTCTAGTTGTGATCCCAAGGTTGTGCCAGTCAGCTTTCGTATGATATTATTCCTAGCACCCACTTTTTGCTTGATATGCAAGCAGAGCTTCTTGTAGGTCAGGGCACATTCCAGAGTGACTCCCAAGTATTTGGGTGTGCTGCAATTCTCCAGTGGAATTCGTTCCCAGTCATCCTCAGAGTTCGAGAAGTTTGTCTGATCTTAAGTTAAAAAGCACATGTCTGCATTTCAGATGGATTCGGAATCAGCTGGTTTCCCCTGTAATGGCCAGTAAGAGCACTTGAAGCTTCAGAGAGCTTCTGTTCAACCCTTTCAAAGCTCCCTGCTTGGGTGGTGATGGCGTGATCGTCAGCGTAGATTAAACCCTCTGTCTCTTCTGGCAGTGGCTGGTCATTTGTGTAAATGATAAACATTGATGGTGAAAAGGACTTGTCTGTGTTTTAGATGGATGAAAAATCAGCTGTTTTTCCTGCAATAGGCAGTAAGAGCACCTCAAGCTTCGGAGAGCTTTCGTTCAACCATTTCAAAGCTCTCTGCTTGGGCAGTGATGGTGTGATCATCAGCGTAGATGAAATTCTCTATCCCTTTTGGCAATGGATGGTAATTTGTGTAAGTGATAAACATTGTTGTCTGTGTTTTAGATGGATGAGAAATCAGCTGGTTTCCCCTGTAATAGGCAGTAAGACTACCTAAAGCTTCAGAGAGTTTCTGTTCAGCCATCTCAAAGCTCTCTGCTTGGGCGGTGATGGCATGATCGTCACCATAGATGAAATTTTCTATCCCTTCTGGCAGTGGTTAATCATTTGTGCCAATGGTAAACATTAGTAATCAGCTGGTTTTCCCTGTAATAGGCAGTAAGAGCACCTCAAGCTTCGGAGAGCTTTCGTTCAACCATTTCAAAGCTCCCTGCTTGGCTGGTGATGGCGTGATCATCAGCATAGATGAAATTCTCTATCCCTTCTGGCAGCGGCTGGTCATTTGTGTCATTATTAAACATTAGGAATCAGCTGGTTTTCCCTGTAATAGGCAGTAAGAGCACCTAAAGCTTTGGAGAGCTTCTGTTCAATCCTTTCAAAGGTCTCTGCTCGGGCGGTGATGGCATAATCGTCAGCGTAGATGAAATTTTCTATCCCTTCTAGCAGTGGTTAATCATTTGTGTCAATGGTAAACATTATGAATCAGCAGGTTTTCACTGTAATAGGTAGTACGAGCATCTAAAACTTTGGAGAGCTTCTGTTCAAGCATTGCAAAGCTCTCGGCTCGGGCATTGATGGCGTGATCGTCAGCGTAGATGAAACTCTCTCTCCCTTCTGGAACTTGCTGGTCATTTGTGTCAATGGTAAACATTAGAAATCAGCAGGATTTCACTGTAATAGGTAATACGAGCATCTAAAGCTTCCGAGAGCTTCTGTTCAAGCATTGCAAAACTCTCTGCTCAGGCGTTGATGGCGTGATCGTCAGCGTAGATGAAATTCTCTATCCCTTCTGGCAGTGGTTAATCATTTGTGTCAAAAGTAAACATTAGGAATCAGCAGGTTTTCATTGTAATAGGTAGTAAGAGCATCCAAAGCTTCAGAGAGCTCTATTCAACCATTGCAAAGCTCTCTGCTCGGGCGGTGATGGCATGATCGTCAGCGTAGATGAAACTCTCTATCCCTTCTGGAACTGGCTGGTCTTTTGTGTCATTAATAATAAGGGGAAAAGGAAATATTATGCACAAACTTCGGACTAAAACCCGGAGTGGACACCAACAACCCACACTTTCAGGAGCGAGACTCACCAACTGATATTAAATGCATTGTCCTCGGCGAGGATGAAGAAGGCGTCTTATTCAAGTGTAAACGTATGTTTGATTTAATGGATCGGTCAACTCAAAATACAGAATTAATCCATTCAAAACGTCGCGGTTGGCAGTATTCTGGCTGCACAGTCTACATCTCATTCCTCTTAATGGATTTTAAAGACCTATTTAAAGCTTGGTAGTTCATGAAAGTAACTTGCCCAAAGTTACTTTTATTATCCAATGTTACTTTTATTAAAGTAACTTACCCAAAGTTACTTCTATTATAAAGTAACCTACCCAAAGTTACTTTTATGAAAGTAACTTACCCAAAGTTACTTTTATGAAAGTAACTCACCCAAAGTTACTTTTATGAAAGTAACTCACCCAAAGTTACTTCTATTAAAGTAACTTACCCAAAGTTACTTTTATTAAAGTAACTCACCCAAAGTTACTTTTATTAAAGTAACTTACCCAAAGTTACTTTTATTAAAGTAACTCACCCAAAGTTACTTTTATTAAAGTAACTCACCCAAAGTTACTTTTATTAAAGTAACTTACCCAAAGTTTTATGAAAGTTACTTTGGGAAGTTACTTTCCTAGGAGGGAATGCAGTTTGTATACTGCAACTCCTTGAGTCCGCAAGGAAAAGTAGTTCACCAGAGTAACTCAGCCATAGTTACCTTTACAAAAAAACTCAGCCATAGTTACTTTTACAAAGTAACGTTGGGTAAGTTACTTATTGGGGAGGCAATGTAATTTGTGGACCGCAACTCCTTGACCCTACCTTTCAAGGATGGTTCATAAAAGTAACTTGCCCAAAGTTAACTTTACGAAAAAACCTACAACAACCCAGTGATTCTGGCCATGAAAGCCTCTGACAATACAACTTGCCCAAAGTTACTTTTCTGAATTTTTTTTGGGGGGGGGGGAAGTTACTCTCCTGAGAGGGAATGCAGTTTGTAGACTGCAACTCCTTGAGCCCTTGTGGAAAAGTCGTTCACGAAAGAAACTTGGCCATTGTTACTTTTACAAAGTAACTTTGGGTAAGTTACTTCTTGGGAAGACAATAGTTTGTGGACAAACTCCATGACTCTAGTTTTCAAGGATAGCTCATGGAAGTAACTTCCCCAAAATTACTTTTATGGAAACAATTTTGGGAAAGTTACTCTCCTGGAAGGGAATGCAGTTTGTACACTGCAACTCCTTGAGCCCTTGTAGAAGTCGTTCACGAAAGTAATTTGGCCAGTTACTTTTACAAAGTAATTTTGGGTAAGTTACTTCTCGGGAAGGCAGTACAGTTTGTGGACTGAATCTTCATGATACTACTTTTCAAAAATAGTTAATGGAAGTAACTTGCCCATAGTTACCTTTATGAAAGTAACTTGCCCAAAGTTACCTTTATGGAAATAACTCACGCAAAGTTCTATTTATGGAAGTAACTTACCTTAAATTACTTTGATGAAAGTAACTTGCCCAACATTACTTTTAAGAAAGTAACTTGCCCCAAATTATTTTTATGAAAGTAACTTGCCCTAAATTACTTTTAAGAAAGTAACTTTGGGCAAGTTACTATTTGGGGAGGCAATAAGGTCTGTGGACTGCAACTTCCTGAGCCTACTACCCCTTCAAGGATTGGTAGTTCATGAAAGTAATTCGCTTGGAGTAACTTTGGGCAAGTTACTTAACGTACGATACAATAAGGTCTGTGGACTGCAACTTCCTGAGCCTACTACCCCTTTAAGGATTGGTAGTTCGTGAAAGTAATTCATCTGAAGTAACTTTGGGAAAGTTACTTAAAGTACGATACAATAAGGTCTGTGGACTGCAACACATTCTTCAAGGATTGGTAGTTCATGAAAGTAATTTGCATGAAGTAACTTTGGGCAAGTTACCTAAAAGTACAATGCAAATTACACCTTAAAAGTTACATAGTTGTAGTGTAGCTCTCCAAGCCACATCATCTGAGAGAGACACTGGGATTCGAACCATGATCAGCCACGAAAAGAGGCGTCACGAAGCTGCCACTCAAAGGCGTCAACTCAATAGATATACAGGACTAGAGACCCCAAAACTACGTATCCCACCTCTCTAGGGAAGGCCTCCTTGGTCGGAAGGGTATTGGGGAACAGGCCAAGCTTGGAAAAGTTACTTTTTTTGGACTCAAGCTCCTTCAGATCCTGAATACGCTTCATTGTCCTGGGAACGGGATATGTTTAGTCTGTTTTTCCACCGAGCAATCGGATACGTTTCCCAAATAATTAATGATAAGTGGAACGGGAAAGGAGAAGAGAACGAGAAACACCGATAAATAGAGGAGTTTTGGTTTCAGCCCTTGCGCGGAGGGAGGGGGAGGCGATCGAGAACCCCGCTCTTCCAAACGCATAAAAGAATAGGATCAAAGGGAGGTCGGGAACCCCGAATGCCGCCTCGAAGGGTCGGCGTTATAGGAGAACGCAGTCCGAATCCGGTTTCTGCCGCTGCCGGCGCTCTCCGGCAGGTCGCGGCGGCGGCGGGCTCCTCGCCTAAGGAAGGAGAGAAAAAAAAAGAAAGGGAATGAGAAAGTGGAGAAAGGAGGAGAGGAAGTGCTTCTCCCCAAAATGCAGACACATGTTTTACTATATATAATATAATATAATATAATATAATATAATATAATATAATATAATATAATATAATATTATATTATATTATATTATATTATATTATATATAATATTATATTATATATAATTTATATTCTACATTAATATATAATTAACACATATTATGTACTAATTACATTATATATCATATATTAATGTATATATTATATATTAATATAACTAACACATGTCATATTATATTATATATTATATATAATTGATATTCTACATTAATATATAATTAAAACATATTATATACTAATTACATTATATATCATATATTAATGTGTATATTATATATTAATATAAGTAATACATGTTGGCATATTATATTATATATTATATATAATTGATATTCTACATTAATATATAATTAACACATATTATGTACTAATTATATTATATATCATACATTAATGTATATATTTTATATTAATGTAACTAACACATGTTGGCATATTATATTATATATTATATATAATTGATATTCTACATTAATATATAATTAACAAATATTACATACTAATTACATTATATATCATGTATTAATGTACATGTTATATATTAATATAATTAATACATGTTAATATATAATTAACACATGTTATGTACTAATTACATTATATATCATACATTAATGTATATATTTTATATTAATGTAACTAACACATGTTGGCATATTATATTATATATTATATATAATTGATATTCTACATTAATATATAATTAAAACATATTATATACTAATTACATTATATATCATATATTAATGTGTATATTATATATTAATATAACTAACACATGTCATATTATATTATATATTATATATAATTGATATTCTACATTAATATATAATTAAAACATATTATATACTAATTACATTATATATCATATATTAATGTGTATATTATATATTAATATAAGTAATACATGTTGGCATATTATATTATATATTATATATAATTGATATTCTACATTAATATATAATTAAAACATATTATATACTAATTACATTATATATCATATATTAATGTGTATATTATATATTAATATAAGTAATACATGTTGGCATATTATATTATATATTATATATAATTGATATTCTACATTAATATATAATTAACAAATATTACATACTAATTACATTATATATCATGTATTAATGTACATGTTATATATTAATATAATTAATACATGTTAATATATAATTAACACATGTTATGTACTAATTACATTATATATCATACATTAATGTATATATTTTATATTAATGTAACTAACACATGTTGGCATATTATATTATATATTATATATCATTTATATTCTACATTAATATATAATTAACAAATATTATATACTAATTACATTATATATCATATATTAATGCGTATATTATATATTAATATACCTAACACATGTTAATATACTATACTCTAAAAAATATAGTTCTTATATTGTATTATTATTAGTATAATATTGTATTACATTACAATTTATTATATTATCTATGTATATAATAGAAGTCAGTGTTTGTATGTGGAGGAGGGTGGTGTATGTGGCAGCTTTCTGATTGGCTGCCACTTTCACAGGCCACTGTGACCAACACGGGTGACGCACCTGGACCAAACTTGGCACACATAACCCCCATGAACCCCTTTACGTTCTGGTGCGGTATGGGGGAAGTGGACCATGGATTATGGGATCTGTAGTACTTTCAAACGGTGTGGTTCCCAGGAACCACTGTGGCCCCCAACAAAGACCAAACTTAGCACACAGAGCCCCCATGACCCACTCTACATCCTACTGCCGGAAGAGGGTGCACCATGGATGATGGGACTTGCAGTACATCTGCTCACTTTCCGAGACCACTGCAACCCTCATCCAATGACTGAGCAAGACCAAACTTGACACACAGAGCCCCCATGACCCACTCTACATCCTGGTGCAGTTTCGAGGAGGATGGACCACGGATGATGGGACTTGAAGTACCTCCACTCACTTCCTGAGACCGCTGTGACACTCATCCAATGACTGATCAAGACCAAACTTGGCCAGAGAGCCCCCATGACCCACTCTACATCCTGGTGAGGACAGACCATGGACGATGGGACCTGAAGTACCTTCAACCACTTCTCGAGACCGCTGCAACCTTCATCCAATGACTGATCAAGTCCAAACTTGACCAGAGAGCCCCCATGACCCATTCTACATCCTGCTGCAGTTTGGAGGAAGATAGACCACAGATGATGGGACTTGAAGTACCTTCACTCACTTCCCGAGGCCGCTGCGACCCTCATGCAATGACTCTGATCAATGACTGCAAGCCACATAAATAACTGAGAAAGACCAACCTTGGCACACAATGCCTTTCTCAAATAACCTGGGCACCGCAGGGGGTGTACAGTGTTGTCCTTGTTTTGGGGTACCTGGGCTGGGGATCCGGAGGCGGGAGCCGGCGGCGGTTGCTGCTGCTGGTATTCCTCTTGCTGCAACTGCTGGGCCAACTCCAGGTCACTCAGCGGAGTTCCTCCTTGCTGCTGTTGGAGTGACAAGGCGATCATATAGTCCTGGGGAGAAGAGCAGGAGTGAAAGATGGACCATTGCAACTCTATTGAAAGGGTCCTCAAAGCCAGGTTTGACCCTGGCAATGATTCTATTTTCCCCAAACTCCACCAGTGTTCACATTTGGACATATTGAGTATTCCTATAGAGTTTGGTCCAGATCCATCATTGTTTGTATCCACAGTGATCTCTGGATGTAGGTGAACTACAACTCCCAAAACAAAGGACACTGCCCACCAAACCCTTCCAGTATTTTCTGTTGGTCATGGGAGAACTGTGTGCCAAGTTTGGTTCAATTCCATTGTTGGTGGGGTTCAGAATGTTCTTTGAGTGTAGGTGAACTATAAATCCCAGCAACTACAACTCCCAAATGACAAAATCAAATTTTTTTTGAGTGAAGGACATACATTGGGTTGTTAGGTGTCTTGTGTCCAAATTTGGTGTCAATTTGTCCAGTGGTTTTTGAGTTCTGTTAACCCCACAAACGAACATTACATTTTTATTTATATAGGTAAGTAAAAAAGCAACAAAGTAAAAAAGCACTTTAAAGAAATAGGTAAATCCAATTAGGTAAGAAGATAAGCAGGAACAAAGTATCTTATCTATATAAATAAAAATGTAATGTTCATCTGTGGGATTAACAGAACTCAAAAACCACTGGACGAACTGACACCAAATTTGGAGACAAATCAGACTGGAGATGTGACGCGTACCTGGTCCACCTGCCGCTGGTTGAGGTGCTGCTGCTCCGGGGGAGGCCCTCCAGCCGCCTCTTTGCCCAAAGCGTGGCTCAAGTGGAAGTCGGTGTCGCAGAAGCAGCTGTCGCCGTCCACGTTGTGCAGGCTCTCCCAGGCCACCTGCTCCTCGTGGAGGAAGCCCTGGTCCGTCACCAGCAGGTAGAGGTGGCTCTGCAGGTGAGAGAGGTGGGAGGGGCTTGGAGACATGACGAACCTCCAACCCAACCGAGATTGGCACTGGAGGACCCTCAACACACCTAGTGAGTATTTTGAGGAAGCCATAGGTCACCTTGAAACCCATTTCCAGCTGAAGAGTATTGATTTATTTACTTATTTACGACATTTATATGCCATCGAGTATTTATTTATTGATTTACGACATTTATATGCCGTAGAGTATTTATTGATTTACGACATTTATATGCCGTAGAGTATTTATTTATTGATTTATGACATTTATATGCCGTAGAGTATTTATTTATTTACGACATTTATACGCCAGAGTATTTATTGATTTATGACATGTATATGCCGTAGAGTATTTATTGATTTACGACATTTATATGCCGTAGAGTATTTATTTATTGGTTTATGACATTTATATGCCGTAGAGTATTTATTTATTGATTTATGACATTTATATGCTGTAGAGTATTTATTTATTTACGACATTTATACGCCAGAGTATTTATTGATTTACGACATTTATATGCCGTAGAGTATTTATTGATTTACGACATTTATATGCCGTAGAGTATTTATTTATTGATTTATGACATGTATATGCCGTAGAGTATTTATTGATTTATGACATTTATATGCCGTAGAGTATTTATTTATTGGTTTATGACATTTATATGCCGTAGAGTATTTATTTATTGATTTACGACATTTATATGCCGTAGAGTATTTATTTATTGGTTTATGACATTTATATGCCGTAGAGTATTTATTTATTGATTTATGACATTTATATGCTGTAGAGTATTTATTTATTTACGACATTTATACGCCAGAGTATTTATTGATTTACGACATTTATATGCCGTAGAGTATTTATTGATTTACGACATTTATATGCCGTAGAGTATTTATTTATTGATTTATGACATGTATATGCCGTAGAGTATTTATTGATTTATGACATTTATATGCCGTAGAGTATTTATTTATTGATTTATGACATTTATATGCCGTAGAGTATTTATTTATTGATTTACGACATTTATATGCCGTAGAGTATTTATTTATTGATTTATGACATTTATATGCCGTAGAGTATTTATTTATTGATTTATGACATTTATATGCTGTAGAGTATTTATTTATTTACGACATTTATACGCCAGAGTATTTATTGATTTACGACATTTATATGCCGTAGAGTATTTATTGATTTACGACATTTATATGCCGTAGAGTATTTATTTATTGATTTATGACATGTATATGCCGTAGAGTATTTATTGATTTATGACATTTATATGCCGTAGAGTATTTATTTATTGATTTATGACATTTATATGCCGTAGAGTATTTATTGATTTACGACATTTATATGCTGTAGAGTATTTATTTATTGATTTATGACATTTATATGCCGTAGAGTATTTATTGATTTACGACATTTATATGCCGTAGAGTATTTATTTATTGATTTATGACATTTATATGCCGTAGAGTATTTATTTATTTATGACATTTATTTGCCGTAGAGTATTTATTTATTTACGACATTTATACGCCATAGAGTATTTATTGATTTACGACATGTATATGCCGTAGAGTATTTATTGATTTATGACATGTATATGCCGTAGAGTATTTATTTATTTATGACATTTATTTGCCGTAGAGTATTTATTTATTTACGACATTTATACGCCATAGAGTATTTATTGATTTACGACATGTATATGCCGTAGAGTATTTATTTATTTATGACATTTATTTGCCGTAGAGTATTTATTTATTTACGACATTTATACGCCATAGAGTATTTATTGATTTACGACATGTATATGCCGTAGAGTATTTATTTATTTATGACATTTATTTGCCGTAGAGTATTTATTTATTTACGACATTTATACGCCATAGAGTATTTATTGATTTATGACATGTATATGCCGTAGAGTATTTATTTATTTATGACATTTATTTGCCGTAGAGTATTTATTTATTTACGACATTTATACGCCATAGAGTATTTATTGATTTACGACATGTATATGCCGTAGAGTATTTATTGATTTATGACATGTATATGCCGTAGAGTATTTATTTGTTTACGACATGTATATGCCATAGAGTTTTTATTTATTTACGACATTTATATTCCGCCCTTCTCTCCCCGAAGGGGACTCAGAGCGGCTTAAATACAATCTATTATATTATTACCATAGCACAATATTAATATTATATATTACATTGTACTATAACATTATACTGTAATATTATTTATTATATAATATATAATTATAATATCATTTTACAATTGATTTCTCTTGGAGGGCCAAAATAAGGCCAAGAATAATACATTTACTCCATGCAAGTGTTATTATTGTTATCGTCATTATCAATTATTGCAATGGTGAATATAGAAAATGCATTGGATAGGCAGATATTATTATTATTATTATTATTATTATTATTATTATTATTAGCAATGGAAGACCTTAAGAAATGACTTGGATAGGCAGGTAATATTATTATTATTACTATTAGTCACGGAGGACCTAGAAAATGCTTCAGAGACACAGGTATTATTATTATTATTATTATTATTATTATTATTATTAGCAATGGAAGACCTTAAGAAATGACTTGGATAGGCAGGTAATATTATTATTATTACTATTAGTCACGGAGGACCTAGAAAATGCTTCAGAGACACAGGTATTATTATTATTATTATTATTATTATTATTATTATTAGCAATGGAAGACCTTAAGAAATGACTTGGATAGGCAGGTAATATTATTATTATTACTATTAGTCACGGAGGACCTAGAAAATGCTTCAGAGACACAGGTATTATTATTATTATTATTATTATTATTATTATTATTATTAGCAATGGAAGACCTTAAGAAATGACTTGGATAGGCAGGTAATATTATTATTATTACTATTAGTCACGGAGGACCTAGAAAATGCTTCAGAGACACAGGTATTATTATTATTATTATTATTACAATTATTATTAGCAATGGAAGACCTTAAGAAATGACTTGGATAGGCAGGTAATATTATTATTATTACTATTAGTCACGGAGGACCTAGAAAATGCTTCAGAGACACAGGTATTATTATTATTATTATTATTATTATTATTATTATTATTATTATTATTAGCAATGGAAGACCTTAAGAAATGACTTGGATAGGCAGGTAATATTATTATTATTACTATTAGTCACGGAGGACCTAGAAAATGCTTCAGAGACACAGGTATTATTATTATTATTACAATTATTATTAGCAATGGAGGACCTAAAAATAGCCTAGGAGACATAGGCATTATTATTATTATTATTATTATTATTAGCAATGGAAGTCCTAGAGGCAGGCATAATAATAATAATAATAATAATAATAATAATAATAGTAGTAGTAATAATAATAATAATAATAATAATTAGCAGCAGCAGCAGCAGCAATGGAGGACCTAGAAAAATCCTAGGAGAGGCAGGTATAATAATAATAATAATAATAATAATAATAATAATAATAATAATAATAATCAGCATCAGCAATGGAGGACCTAGAAATAGCCCAGGAGAAGCATATATTATTATTATTATTATTATTATTATTATTATTATTAGTAGTAGTAGTACTAATGATGGAGGACCTAGAAAATGCTTCGGAGACAGGTATTATTATTATTACTATTATTATTAGCAATGGAGGACCTAGAAAATGCCTAAAAGAGGCAGGTATAATAATAATAATAATAATAATAATAATAATAATAATAATAACAACAACTATTATTATTATTAGTAGTAGTAGTACTAATGGAGGACCTAGAAAATGCTTCGGAGACACAGGTATTATTAGTATCATTATTATTACTATTATTATTAGCAATGGAGGACCTAGAAATAGCCTAGGAGACGTAGGTATTATTATTATTATTATTATTATTATTATTATTATTATTATTATTTTGCTGGATGTAGATACCAGCCCCACGGATACGGGGACCCACCTGGTGCTTGATCATGGTGCTGAAGTGGTTGTTCCGGAAGAAGACGCTCAGCTCGCCTTCCTTGACGGTGGACGTGAGCTCGCAGAGGCCGTGGTACGTGAGCTGGGAGGCCGTGGACTCCAGAAACTGCTCCGCAATCAGACCTGAGAGGAAGCCAAAGGAGAAGCTGGATGGCCATCTGTCGGGAGGGATCGGATGGTGCCGCCTCTTAGGGCCTTTGGGGGTCCCTCCCAGGTCTAGGATTCTCTCCTGGCAATACCTTCGGTCACCAGATTGGGGTCGCTGGAGTGTTTGCAGGTGATGATCTTCTCCACCAGTTGGTTGTAACTCAGCTTGCCCACCGCCTGAGCCGCTTCGCGTATCTGGAGGGGAAGAGTCCCCAAAGTAAAGATTTATATACACTTTATATATGTTATGTGTATGTATGTAGGTATGTGTATATATACTCACATACACACACTTCCATATATATATGGGATGTGTGTATGTGTATATACGTGTGTGTATATACATATATAGAGAGAGACACACACACATATACACACACTTTTCCATATATATATATATATATATATATATGGAATGTATGTATGTGTATATAGGTATGTGTGTGTGTATAGAGAGAAACACACACACATATATACACTTTTCCATATATATATATGGAATTTATGTATGTATGTGTATATAGGTCATACACACACTTTTCCATATATATATATGGAATGTATGTATGTGTAGGTGTGTGTGTCTATACACACACACACACTTCCATATATATATATATGGAATGTATGTAGGTATATATGTGTGCATATATCAAAATATATACACACACACTTCCATATATATATGGTATGTATGTATGTGCATGTAGGTATGTGTGTGTGTGTGTATATATATATAGACACACACACACACTTTTCCACATATATATATATGGGATGTACGAATGTGTATGTATATATAGGTATGTGTATATATATAGACACACACACACACACTTTTCCATATATATATGGAATGTATGTAAGTATGTGTATGTAGGTGTGTGTGTGTATATATATATATATAGAGAGAGAGAGAAAGAGACATACACACACTTTTCCATATATATATATGGAATGTATGTATGTGTAGGTGTGTGTGTCAATACACACACACACTTCCATATATATATGGAATGTATGTATGTATGTGTATGTAGGTGTGTGTGTATATATATATATATATATAGAGAGAGAGAGAGAAAGAGACATACACACACTTTTCCATATATATATGGAATGTATGTATGTATATGTAGGTGTGTGTGTGTATACACACACACACACTTCCATATATACATGGAATGTATGTGTGTATATAGGTATATATGTGTGCATATATCTATATATACACACACATTCCATATATATATGGTATGTATGTATGTGCATGTAGGTATGTGTGTGTGTGTATATATATATAGACACACACACACACTTTTCCACATATATATATGGGATGTACGTATGTGTATCTATATATAGGTATGTGTATGTCTGTGTATATATATAGACACACACACACACACATACACACTTTTCCATATATATATGGAATGTATGTATGTATGTGTATGTAGGTGTGTGTATACATATATATAGAGAGAAAGAGACATACACACACTTTTCCATATATATATGGAATGTATGTATGTATATGTAGGTGTGTGTGTGTGTATACACACACACACACTTCCATATATATACGGAATGTATGTGTGTATATAGGTATATATGTGTGCATATATCTATATATACACACACATATATACGGAATGTATGTGTGTATGTAGGTATATGTGTGTGCATATATCTATATATATACACACATTCCATATATATATGGTATGTATGTATGTGCATGTAGGTATGTGTGTGTGTGTGTATATACACACATACAAACTCATTTCCATATATATATGGAATGTATGTATGTGTATGTATATATAGGTATGTGTATCTGTGTGTGTGTATATATATAGACACACACACACACTTTTCCATATATATGGAATGTATGTATGTATGTATATATATACACACACACACACTTATATATGTGTGTGTGTGTATATATATGTGTGTGTGTGTATATATATGTGTGTGTATATATATATGGAAGTGTAATATCAATGTAATCCATCAGGAGAGGTTGCAATTGCTGGGATAATGGGACACCAATAGGTTTGATATACTGGTGTGGATGTCAAACTGGAAGAACAAACGTCACGGCTCAACGCAACCGGATTTTGGGAATTGTAGTTCGGTGCCCCTTTGGCAGAGGAAGACCTTGTAAAACTACAACTCCCAGGATCCCATGGAGCTACGGGCAGTGAAACTGGGGTCAAACTGAGTTTTGCAAATTTTCCATGTAGGAAACACGCTTTTGAGACATGCCTCCGTTACGCGATACGGAAATCCGGTTTTACTATCGCACCGGAGGTTAAACCAAGAGGGGACACAGTCAAAGCCCTCCTGACAGATGCCCATCCGGCCTCAGTTAATGCTTGGAGATGTTCTCCAAGGCCTTACCTGGGGGTCCACAAGCCACCCGTGATACAGGGGGATGTTTAGGAGGTCGAAGACGATGCACTCGGGGGTGTATTCGAAATCGGAGACCCCCGTAAACCTCACGTTGACGTCCAACCCGGTGGAGAGCTTGGGGAGAACCATCATGGCGTCGTTGACATTCTGTTGGCAACATCATATACTTATCAACATCATATACTTATCACTACAAGCCGATGGGAAGCAGCCAAGAGGCTTAAACCTATATCTATAATAGAAAATAATTGCTAAATTATAGTATGAAATATACATATTATACATATCTAAAATGCAAAATGACAGCTCCTAGCGTTCCATTGCATGGTTCAGTTAAAGTGAGGTCAAAGAAAAGGAAAGAAGGAAGGAGGCAAAGAATAAAATTATTGTTGCTGTTGTTATTAATGATTATTATTAACATTTTTTATTATTATTATTATTATTATTATTATTATTATTAATAACAAACCCTAATAATAGAATTGAAAATAATAATTTACTATTAATAATAATAGAATTGAAAATAATTATTAACAGCAAATCGTAATAATCAAATTGAAAATAATAATAATAAATTGTTATTAATAACAAATCCTAATAATAGAATTGAAAATAATAATACTAATTTATTATTAATAATAACAAAATCTGATAGAATTGAAAATAGTTTATTATTATTATTATTATTAAATCCTAATAATAGAATGGAAAATATTAATAATAACTTATTATTAATAACAAATCCTAATAGATCTGAAAATAGTAATTTATTATTATTAATAACAAATCCTAATGATAGAATTGAAAATAATAATTTATTATTAATAATAATAGAATTGAAAATAATTATTAATAGCAAATAGTAATAATCAAATTGAAAATAATAATAATAAATTGTTATTAATAGAATTGAAAATAATAATAACAAAATCTAATGATAGAATTGAAAATAATTTATTATTATTATTATTATTAATAAATCCTAATAATAGAATGGAAAATAATAATAATTTATTATTAATAACAAATCCTAATAGATTTGAAAATAATATTTTTTATTATTGTTATTATTAATAAATACTAATAATAGGATTTCTTATTATTAATAAAAATAATAAATTATTATTTTCAATTCTATTATTAGGTTTTATTAATAATAATAATAAATTATTTTTATTAGTAATAAAATTATTATTTTCATTTTTTTACTAATAATGTAATTGAAAATAATAATTTTATTAATAATAATAACAAAATCTAATGATAGAATTGAAAATAATTTATTAATAATATTATTATTAATAATAATAAATCCTAATAGAATGGAAAACAATAACAAATCCTAATAATAGAACGGATAATAATAATTTATTATTAATAAATCCTAATAGATTTGAAAATAATACTTTATTATTATGAATAACAAATCCTAATGATAGAATTGAAAATAATATTTTATTATTATTGTTATTATTAATAAATACTAATAATATGATTTTTTATTATTAATAAAACAATAAATTATTATTTTCAATTATTATTCCATTCGAATCCCGTCAAAGCCCTACCAACTGATGGCCCTCCAGACTTTATTTGAAGCCACCATCGAATCTCTCTCAACAGATGGCCACCTGGATTCTGAGATTTTTGGGAGGTCGGAGCCGGGAGTCCATCAACGGGAAAGGCTTCCAGCAGGAATTGGGACTCACCTGTTGGAAGTTGAGCTGCAAAGCCTCCGACTGCTGCTGCGGGTTGATGGATAAGATGCAGTCGCCTAAGAGATAGAAGGGGAAATAATAATGTAAATAATAATGTAAAATAATAATGTAAAAACATTATTAATCAATAATAATGTAAAATAAAATCAGAAATATTTATCATGGAATCAATCAATAATAATGTAAAATAAAATCAGAAATATTTATCATGGAATCCCAGTGGAGAGGGTGTCCAAGGAATTGGGAGAAGTTACATGAAGTTCTCCAGAAGTTGCCCACTAATATTCCCTATAGGAAGGTGCTGCCCAAACTTACCCAGGTGGGCCATCAGTTCATCAGAGGTTATCACTTCTTTCTGCGGAGGAAGCTTGACCTATGGACCGAAAACAAGAAAAAAAAAAAGAGAGATTTTGGAGAAATTCCTTTCAAAGAAACCCAAAACGCTGCCATAACAATTCGTTTTAAAGTGGAACTCTCTGCTTCCGAGTTCGGCAGAAGCACTTTCCTTGGAAACTTCGAAAAAGAGGCTGGGTGGCCATCTGTTGGGGGAGATTGCATTGTGTCTTTCTTCCTGGACAAATGCGTTTTACTGGATGTCCTTTGGAGGTCTCTTCCAACTCTAGGATTTGATTACTACTACTACTACGACTATTATTCTTAAGCACGAGCTGGATGGCCATCTGTCGGGAGGGCTTTGATTGTGCTTTCTCTGCCTGGTGGAAACTGGTTGGACTGGATGGCATTTTGGGGTCTCTTCCAACTCTATTATTATTATTATTATTATTATTATTATTATTATTATTATTATTATGGATTCTATTGTTATTATTATTATTGCTACTACTACTACTACTACTACTGCTACTACTACTACTACTAAGAATGGACTGAATGGCCATCTGTTGGGGGAGCTTTGATTGTGGTTTTCCTGTCTGGCAGAAGGAGGTTTGGACTGGATGGCCTTTGCAGGTTTCTTCCAACTCTATGATTCTATTACTATTATTATTGCTACTTCTACTACTAAGAATGGGCTGGATGGCCATCTGTCGGGAGGGCTTTGATTGTGCTTTTTCTCTCTGGCAGAAGGGGTTTTGGACTGGATGGCCTTTAGGGGTCTCTTCCGACTAGGATTCTATTACTATTATTATTATTTCTACTACTACTAAGCATGGGCTGGATGGCCATCTGTCGGGAGGGCTTTGATTGTGCTTTCCATGCCTGGCAGAAAGAGGTTTGGACTGGATGGCCTTTGGGGTTCTCTTCCAACTCTAGGATTCTGTTACTACTACTACTGTTGTTGTTGTTGTGACTACTGCTACTAAACATGGGCTGGATGGCCATCTGTCGGGAGGGCTTTGATTGTGCTTTTCCACTCTGGCAGAAGGGGGCTTGGACTGGATGGCCTTTGGGGGTCTCTTCCAACTCTAAGATTCTGTTACTATTATTATTATTATTATTGTGACTACTACTAAACATGGGCTGGATGGCCATCTGTCGGGAGGGCTTTGATAGTGCTTTTCCTGTCTGGCAGAAGGGGTTTTGGACTGGATGGCCTCTGGGGGGTCTCTTCCGACTAGGATTCCCGCCTCCCTGGGCTTACCTTCCACTGCAAGAACAGGATATTCATGATGGCCAGGAGCGGGCAGGGGCCGTTCTCGCTCTGCGTGATGACGGGAGTCCGCTCGCCTTTCCAGCTGATCCACTTCACGCAGTAGAAGTCCGGGGGCTCGGGCTGGTGGGCCGGAGACGTCCGAGGCTTGGCGGCCGCCTCCTCTCCGGGACAGGGCTCGACGGCGAGCACCTCCGACTGGGGGGCGACCGACGCCTCGGATTGAGAGGCATCAAATGTTTCAGATTGGGACACACTGGACGTCTCGGACTGCGGGGTCCCTCCGTCGGATGCCTCCGATTGGGGCGCCCCATCCTCCTGTGGGGTCACAACACCCTCCTCCTCGTCCGTCTCCAATTGTCCAAATTTGGAGCCTGATCCTTCATCGACTTCCAAACCACTTGGGGTCCCGTCGTCCGACACCGCTGTCTTTTCCCCGTCTGATACGGTTGTCTTTTGCCCGTTTGTTACGGGTGTTTCGCCGGTTGTCAATTCTTCCTCTTTGGCAACACTATTGGGGTGCGTTGTGCCGGTTTCCGCTCCGACCGTCGACTCCTTGGGCTCCATCCGGGGCGTTCCCCGTTTCCCCAAAATCCTCCGTACGAACTAATCCCAACGAAACCCGAATCCCGATTCCTCGGCTAAACCAACGTCAAGGAGAGACTCGCACGGCCCGGTGTTTGCCGAGTTGATTTCTGAGCAAACGTCGCCGGATTCGGGAACTAATCTCCGAGGATCCGGCCAAACGAGTCTGCACTTTATGCAAAAATCAAATTCCTATTAAACGTGTCCTTCGTTCCCTGGCGTAATTTCGAAACCAACATCGTTGGATCAAACAAAATATTATTTATTATTGATTATTATTATCATCATCAATAATAATACTAATAATAATAATAATTTAGCTAGTTTACAGAAGGAATTCAACTTGTTTACAGATGGAATTAAGAGATTTGGGGTGGAAAAATGTCCAGGAAAAGACAATATTATTAATAACAGAAATGTTATAATATTGTTGATATTAATAATAACAATAATAAATTATTATTAATAGTGATAATAATAATAAATTATTATTAATAGTTATAATACTTCAATTTGCTAACAGATGGAAACAGAGATTTGGGGTGAAAAAAATGTCCAGAAAAATATAATAATATCAATAATAGAAATATTATTGTATTATTAATATTAATAATTTATTATTATTATTATTATTATTATTATTATTATTATTAATAGTAATAATAATAATTCAATTTCCTAACAGATGGAAACAGAGATTTAAGGTGGAAAAATGTCCAGGAAAAGATAATAATATCAATAATAGAAATTTTATGGTATTATTAGTATTAATAATAATTAATACTAATAGTAATAATAATTCAATTTGTTAACAGATGGATGAGAATTAATAATTATTAATAATAATTAATAGTAATAATAATAATTCAATTTGCTAACAGATGGAAACAGAAATTTGGGGTGGAAAATGTCAGGGAAAATATTATCAATAATAGAAATGTTATGGTATTATTAATATTAATTTATTATTGTTATTAATAGTAATAATAATAATTCAATTTGCTACAGATGGATGATTATTATTAATAGTAACAATAATTCAATTTACTAACAGATGAATAATGATGATTATTAATAGTAATAATAATTCAATTTACTAAAAGATGAATATTGATGATTATTAATAGTAATAATAATTCAATTTACTAACAGATGGACGATTATTATTATCAATAGTAACAATAATTCAATTTAATATCAGATGAATGATGATGATTATTAATAGTAATAATAATTCAATTTGCTAACAGATTAATGTTGATGATTAATAGTAACGATAATTCAATTTACTAACAGATGAATATTGTTGATGATTATTAATAGTAATAATAATTCAATTTACTAACAGATGGATAATTATTATTAATAGTAATAATAATTCAATTTACTAAGAGATGGATGATGATGATTATTAATAGTAATAATAATTCAATTTGCTGACAGATGGATGGGTATTAATATTTTTAAAAATTAATAGTAATAATAATAATTCAATTTGCTAACAGATGGATGAATATTAATACTAATTAATAATAATAGTAATTAATAGTAATAATAATAACAATTCAATGTGCTAACAGATGGGGTGGAAAAGTGTCCAGAAAGAAATTATTATTATTATTATTATTATTATTAATAATAATAATAATAATAATAGAGATTTGTTTACAATGTTTACAATGGGGATTCCTGGTTCCACGGGATATTTATTAGGCACTATTGGAAAAAATATATTTCAAAAGCTCTTATTTAAACCTACGTCTTGTTGTTGTTGTTTTGAAAGGAGGAAAACCAAAGAGAAATAAAGTTTTGGTAGAAAAAAAAAGCAATATAAAAATAATTACTTTGAAAGAAAAAGCAAAAAAAGATATTGCAGAAAAAGTTTAAAAAATAAGTTTATAGTCGCTTCAATGGGTCCCGGACCCCGATCCTCGGCCTTTTCGCATCGTAAACAAACAGATTTTAGATAGACTCCTGGGGGGAAAAAAGAGAGAAAAAGAGGCTTTAAAACAAAAGCTGGATGGCCATCTGTCGAGACAATTAGATTGTGCTTTTCCTGCATGGCAGAAGGGGTTTCGGACTGGATGGCCTTTGGGGGTCTCTTCCAACTCTATCATTCTATTATTATTATTATTATTATTATTATTATTATTATTATTATTGCTACTACTACTCAGAATGGGCTGGATGGCCATCTGCCGGGAGGGCTTTGATGGGGTTGGACTGGATGGCCTTTGGGGGTCTCTTCCAACTCTAGGACGCTATGATTCAGGGGCTGGATGGGCATCTGCCGGGAGGGCTTTGATGGGGTTGGACTGGATGGCCTTTGGGGGTCTCTCCCGAGTCGAGGACCCTATGATTCAGAGGTTGGATGGCCATCTGTCGGGAGGGCTTTGATGGGGTTGGACTGGACCTTTGGGGTTCCCCTTCCAACTCTAGGAGGCTATGATTTAGAGACTAGATGGCCATCTGCTGGGAGGGCTTTGATGGGGTTGGACTGGATGGCCTCTGGGGACCCCTTCCAAACCTAGAATGCTATGATTCAGAGGCTGGATGGGCCTCTGTCGGGAGGGCTTTGATGGAGTTGGACTGGATGGCCTTTGGGGGTCCCTTCCACCTCTAGGATGCTATGATTCAGGGGCTGGATGGGCCTCTGTCGGGAGGGCTTTGATGGGTGTCTTTATGGCAAAACGGGGTTGGACTGGATGGCCTTTGGTGTCCCCTTCCAACTCTAGGAGGCTATGATTCAGAGGTTGGATGGGCATCTGTCAGGAGGGCTTTGATGGTGTCTTTATGGCAAAACGGAGTTGGACTGGATGGCCTTTGGGGGTCCCTTCCAACCCAAGGATGCTATGATTCATAGGCTGGATGGACATCTCTTGGGAGGGCTTTGATGGTGTCCTTATGGCGAAATGGGGTTGGACTGGATGGCCTTTGGGGGTCCCTTCCAACTCTAGGATGCTATGATTCAGAGGCTGGGTGGGCATCTGTCGGGAGGGCTTTGATGGTGTCTTTATGGCAAAATAATAATAGTAAATACGAAACATAATATATTCATATAATAATATAATATAATATAAACAATATAATACAAAATATTAAAAATATCATCATATTATTATAAAAATAATATAATCATATTATAAATAATAACATAAAACAATATAAAAATAATACTAAATAATCATATTATTATAAAAATAGCAAAATAATAATAATAATAAATATGAAACATAATATATTCATATATAATAATAATATAAACAATATAATAATACAAAATATTAAAAATATCATCATATTATTATAAAAATAATATAATCATATTATAAATAATAATACAAAACATAAAAATAATACTACATATTAAAAATGAAATATAATCATATTATTATAAAAATAGTATAATAGTAAAAATATATAATCATATTATAAAATAAATAATAATAATATAAAATAATAATATAAAACAATATAAAATAATACTAAATATTAAAAAATGAAATAATCATATTATTATAAAAAATTTATAATAGTAAAAAAATAATATAATCATATTATAAAGTAAATAATAATAATTTATTTATCGTGTCATCAGCAACCAGACATAATAATAATAATATAATATAATAATATAAAACAATATAAAATAATACTAAATATTAAAAAATGAAATAATCATATTATTATAAAATATTTGTAATAGTAAATATATATATACAATCATATTATAAAATAAATAATATAATATAATAATATAAAATATAAACATAATACTAAACATTAAAAAATGAAATAATCATATTATTATTATAAAAATAGTATAATAGTATTAATATATCAATATTTTAACCCAGCCTCCAATTTTACCCATTGCACAATTGCAGCTTAATTTTAGCAAAGCCTCCCAAACTGCAAAATCTGGATTCGCCTGTTCGGGGAGTCTCTTTGCTTCCATGCGCTGATGACTCGTGCCACACAGTATTATTATTGTTGTCGTAATCATAATATTGTGGTTGTGTGCCTTTGAGATACACCTTGACCTACGGCGGCCTGATTATGGGGCTTTCCTGGCACGATTTCGTGCAGATGAGGTTGACCTCTGAGGCTGAGAGGCAAACACCTCCCAACACAGGATTCCCCAGGGTAGGAAGCAGCCAGGCTTTGAAGCTGCAAGGCCATTCAATGCTAATCTAGGCGAGCAATTGCAACATTCACACCTGCCCCCAACAGACAAAGAGTTCTTCCTCCCATCCTGGACATCATTCCACAAAAATATATATATATATATATATATATATATATATATATATATAATATATAATATATATATAATACGCACACACACACACACACACATATATACACACACATATACATATACATACATACATATATATATAAATACATACATACATATATATATATACACACACACACACACCACTTGCCTAGTTTCCAACAGACCTCACAACCTCTGAGGATGCCTGCCATAGATGGGGGAGAAACGTCAGGAGAGAATGCTTCTGGAACGTGGCCAGACAGCAACCCTGGGATTCCAGCCAAGAAAGCCTTTGATAGTATATTGCATGTATTTATTTTGCATTTTATTTTATACATAATCTATAAAAGGGATGCAATCAAAAGATGATCCCAAAATCGATGCCGTTAAGTTCTTTCTCTGAATCCTGATATTATATATATATATATATACACACACACACACATATATATACATACATACATTTATATATATAAATTTATATAAATATTACATGAATATATATTGTTATATATATAATATATATATATATTGTTATACATATATACTATATATATATAGTAATTATATATAGTTATTACTTGAGACAGAAATATATATACACATTTATATATAATTTTATAAAAAATATATAAAATTATAGGAATATATTTTGTTATATTATATATATATATTCATTATAATATATTATATATAAATTCATTATAATATATATTATATATATAGTAATTATATAATTACTTGAAATACAAAAATAATTTTACATAAACATTTATATAAATATTATATAAATATAACAATGAATATACATTGTTATATATATTATATACATATATATAGATGATAATATTTATACATATAGTAAATATATTATTATTACTTAAAAGACAAAAACATACCTATATATAATTTTATATTTTATATAAACATTTATATAAATATTACATGAATATATATTGTTATATATATTCATTATAATATTATATATATAATATAATCATTATATATGATTATTACTTGAAAGACAGAAAATATACCTTTATATATAATTTTATATAAAAATTATATTGTTATATATATATATATTCATTATTATATTATAT